TATCATTCACAATTTTGTGTTTAAATATGTCCTGTCACTAAGTTTTGCTCATAATTGTTTTCAGCTTTAAGAAACTGGCCATTTACCAGTACTACGTACAGATGACACTGGTCAAGACAATATGGTGTTTGTACATAGCAAGTGAAATTCAAGTATGATCACTTGATTTATTTGTGATCATTTTTTGGTACAAACACTCCTTCTCCAGATTTGTATCTAGCAGGGCACTAACACATGTAATCTAGTGGAGAGAAAACAGACCTAGAAAATAATCTCGTTCTTGCTCGCTTTGGCAATACAGCTGATTTTGGAACCAAGTATCTCCCACGAGTTCCACTGTACAAAATACAGGGAGAGTAGAGGCCGGATTCTGGTCTCACCCAGGTTTCACCTGGTGTAACTATAGAGACATTAGTGGTGCCACTACAAATGGACTTACATGGAGCATGTGAGAGTAGAATCAGGCCTTGTCTATCCCACATATTCCCTCTGACACTGCAATATCCAAGTGCCTACAACCTCCTGGAGGCTAATTTCCAAATGGTACAAATGAGCAGTGAGCCCTTTCAAAGGTTAAAACTGGCGTGAGCACTGCAATGCACAACGAGGAATGATGATTTGGGGTTTCCAAACATGAGAACTAGCCTCTCTTGTCAGCCATTCCCCCTCCCGACAGACCAGCTTCGTGCCTAGTGTAAGGGCACAATAAACTGGCATTGCAGCCAACCCACTGTGATACGATGAAACAGTCTGAGACTGGAAAATAATCTCTTGCTTTGAACAGAAAATACAAAATTCCACAGTTGCGCCATTCTGTCAATGAGATGGAGATGCAGTCTGGGGTAGGCTGAACCTCTCTAGTCTGGCACCCTTGGGACCTGACCGGTGCTGAACTAGAGAATTTGCCAAACCACCGGAGGTCAATACTGTGTAGCAGCATCACCCCCTTCCACTGCTTACTTGACTCACACAACACCGAGAGCCAGGACTGGTGGCTATAAACACATTTTATGGGACCGCAGGAAACTTGGCTGCACCCATGATGAGCAGACAACTGGAGAACTCAAACCACCCATGATGAGCAGACAACTGGAGAACTCCATCCCTGCTAGACCCCGGACGTTCCCAGACCAGAGAGTGCCAGATTAGAGAGGTTCAACTTGTACTTCATTCTAATCTAAGCAGAGTTCTACTGAACCTGAGCGGCATGCAAGCCGTTTCCACCGTGCTTCACAGGAGCAAGGGCGATCCGGATTTGGGTCATTTGTTCTGCATTTGTGCAAGGCCCAGCCACGACCCCAGTTTCCCGAACAGGACTCCATAATATCTGACGTGCTGAATCCATCCTAGCTTTGATGTGGAGCCCTCTGCATGATGGCAGAGGACTTTGGCAGCATAACCAGTGCTGTGGGCATGCCCATGCAGTACAGACATCATCAGGGAAGCTCAGAGAGCCCGGGTCTTTAGTGACGGAGAACAGGCTCCAGTCCCAGAACCAAAGAGCCCCCGATAACTGGGGACAGAACAGTCAGCAACACAGCCCATCGCAGCAGGAAAATGGCTCGTTCTGAAACACGAGGGAGGTGATGCAGTCGGCGGCTGTGGGCTGTACAGAGGAGCTCTGTGCACCTGTTCCGGTGCGGCTCCATCCTTAACTGAGGCAGCTGCCAGTGTGGGAAGGGAACGGCATCGGGTAGAAACACACTGGGTATGTTCCAGGCGTGTGACGGGGCGTCTGCCCCACACTGACCCTGTAAGGCTAAAACCCAGCCCCGGGAGAGGGCTGAGCGCAAAGTCCACAGCTGAGGCAGATGCAATTAGGGCCCAGCTGGGGGTTGTATAAATAAGGGTTCAGGAGAGAGGGGAGCAGGAGGGACCTGGCTGCCAGGGAAGCTGGAGGCTTCCTGATTTAGAGCAGGGCTGGGGAAAGGCCGGCGGAACTGGCCTGGCCTCGCTCCCAGGCTGCAAGGCCTGAGACAAGGCCTGAGGGTAGCAGGGTTGCAGGGAGACAGCCAGGGCAGGCAAAGGCAGCAGGCCCCCACCCCCCTGCCGATGCTGAGTGGCCAGTTCAGCTGCAGTTTGCCCCTGTGGCAGGGACTAGATGAACACTGGCCACGAGTCACTGAGACAAGGGGGGTGGAGGGGAATTGGGGGTTCCCTGGGAGGGGAGGACCCCAGAGTGCAGAGACTGATAAACACCCTTTCCCCCCGGAAGGGGGCCGAGAGACACTGGTGCGGGCCTTGCCGGAGGGCAGTGTCCTGAATAGGACCCCGCGGTCCGGGAGTGATGCAGGTCTGGAGCTGAAGGAAGGAGTGAGGATGCGGGGAGACGCCAGCCAGAGGGGGGGCGCCTTGGGGATGAGCTAATTCCCAGGGCTGCCAGCAGGAGGCGCTGTGGTGGTGAGTTGTGCCCCGCGACAAGGTGCAAATTTGAGAACTGGGAAAGGGCATTTTCCTAACAGCTCACTCCCTGGCGACCAGACGGGTGCTTTCCCGGGATGCTCACGTACTGGACAGCTCCTGGGTTTGGGGGTGACTGTCAGGAGCGCTGTAGGAATGCAGGCGTTCATTCTCTGACATGCGGGCTCTGTCCCTGTCCCTGTCCCAGGGAATCCAGCCGGCGAGCACAGCCTGCACCGTCGCCAGCTTTTCATTGCCTCTCGAGAGCCGCATCGCTGGCGGGAAACACCAGACCAGGTAGGCTCCTGAGTCCCCCGAAGAAACGCTGAGTGAGTTTGCCTTTGCTCTTTGCTGCCAGGCTGATCGTTCGTGTCTCGCCTGCATCATCAGGGCTCGGGATGTCAAACGACAGGCATCAGGGCAGCTCTGTCTTTTGGATCGGACATACCCGTGTGCGATGAGCACGGGTTTGCACTCCCACCTCCCTGCAGGGTCTCGTGTGAGTGCCCGAGGAAGGAGAAATCTCAGAGCTGAGCCCTCTCACAGCACCTACGTTTGTTTCCCATGTGGCGCCCCTTCTTTTCGAACGTCCCCACCAGGGAAGCAGGGTTTGGAGAGAAGATTTGTCCCAATCTGCCCCTTTGAGCTTACCTAGATGCTTCTCTGCCTCAGGGCACAGTCCTAAGCAGTGTGCCCTCAAACTTTTTCCATCCATGAGTGGAATAAATGTTGTGATGTGCACCAAGGCACATGCAGATGTGCACCATCAATAGAAATACATGCTGCCGGGTGGGGGGGGGTGGGGCGGGGAGCCCTGTGGATGCTCTGCCAGAAGCTGGGTGAATTTCAAATCTCCCCTGGGTGGCCACCCAAGCCCTCATCTTACAGGGAGCACTGGTCCTGAGTCCCTTCGCTACCTGTGCGATTCCACCCACCTTCACACTTCACTGAGGAACTTTTCTCCCTGAGGGAAGAGGAACAGGCTGGGGTTGTTTCTTACCCTCAAGGCCTAAAGCTAATTCCCAGACCTAATCCAGAGAGGTAGCCTCCTGTTAATCTGCGCTTCCCAGACCCGGCGAGGGCAGAGAGCACACAGACAGCCTGTCCGCTGAACTAGAAAGCTGGCCGGGTACATAGTCCAGCTCAGTGGAGCGGTGCTAATTACACCACAGAATCTGGCCCTTCACGCCAAACCGTGGAGTAAGCCAGGATCCCTTTAAAACAGGCTGATTTCTGGCTTGCCTGAGAGGCTCTCTTGCTATCTTGCAACAGCTGCTGACGACTGAGGGGTCAGTCCCAAGTTGTAGGGATTTCCCGGGCGTTTGCGTGGTTTCCTTGCTGACACCAGCATCCACATCACTTGGCGTATCCTTGCCGGGGAGAATTCGGACGGGCACAGAGCGTGGCCAGTGCTACGGGGACTAGGAGAGAGGAGTTCCCTCCTCCAGCACTGGGCTGGGCATGCTTATACCTCAACCTGTATCCATCTGGCCTGCTCACCTGGGAAACCCGTGGCAGCGACCCCTTGCTGCTCTCCCCTCCCAGCTTCCCGGGGGCAAAGTGGCTGTGTAGAACGATCAAACAAGCTGCAGGGAGCCAGCTATTATCCGTTCCCCTTCTCTGCCACGCTCCCGCTAGGCTGTAGTCACTGTGTCCTTTCCATTCCAACACGCAGCAGCCGCCGCTGGAGGAGCGGCATGTACTGGACAGACAGGCACCGCACAGGAGCAGCCGCATTAAGCAGCCGGAAGGCAACTTTCTGTCCAGCATGAAAAGGCCTTTCACAAGAACGAAATATACCAGCCTCCAAACATCAACATCGGCATCACCCGTAGGGCTCATGCATGTAGCTTATAATTTGCTATCAGCCCGTGACCCTATAGGAAACCCCTTTGCTCCCTTTATATGTCAGCTGTCTCCCCTCCGTCCTTATCCCCTGGCAGGCATTTCCCTAGGGAAATGAATTCTGTCCCCCGAGCAATCTCTTTTCCCTGGTATGATTTGGGGTTCGGGATCTGAGTAGGGAATTTTTTCATGCTTCTGGAAAAAAGTCTTGGACAGAAATGTTTGACACATAAATAAGCATAAATCATTGTTTTCTGTATGGACCATGCGTCTGCAAAAGCCCCTAGGACAACAGAACCGCTGATGAGAAAAGCAGCACCCTTCATCTCCCTGCAGCCAGCGGCCGGCCTTTGGGGTACATGTAGGGATGGGTCTATGCAACTGTGGTATCGACTATCTACGGGCTACTCTGTTCTTTTTTCTCACTGTGTGACGGTGTGGGACGATATTGTGGTAGCTGCATGTTCCATCCTCAGGGCTCCTAGAGCTCCAGTGATTCACCGGCTCTTACGAACCGAAAGACACAATAACAGAATAAAAATCTTGGCTTCTACTGTGTCTCGGCCGCTATTCCCCTGAGTTTTGCTTGCCTGGCGTGTGTTACATGTGCTGCCTCTCAAGGTGACAGCCACACCTGGGGTAGTCCTCGGCGAAATGACCCCGCGCCAACGACGGGCTGGGGGCGGACTTGTGGCAAGCAGGGCGACCCACACGCATGCACCTCTCTCCCCAAGTCAAGAACTCATGCAACTTACTGTCCAAGTGGCGGACTTGGCGGTGCTGGATTGCTGGAAAGTCACCTCGAAGTGGTGGGGCCCGGGGTAGTCGGCGTTGGAGGGGATGACGGGAGCGGGGGACATGGCGTCAAAGGTCGAGCTGGGCTGCGAATAGGGAGAATGCGTTGGGACATTGGAGGGGTGCTCGGAGCTGTAAGGGCTGGTGGACGTTGCGCGGCTGCCGATGCTCTGATCCATGCTGCTGTTCAGCAAGTTAAACTGGGACTGGAGGAAGGGAAAAGGGGAGGAGGGAGGGGGAAAAAAAAAGACACCAGCCAGTTTAGAGACAATGAAACCTCAGCTACACTTCTCCAGGACTTCAGGTGTCCTGTTACAGCCTCTTTAAAGGGCCAGCGCACTGGGAAGTGAGCTGAGATCCCTCCTCCGGGTGGGTTTGTTTTTCACCACCTGTGAGAGGGCTAAACCTTGCACCTTGACATTACCCCCTTGTGTCAGCTTTGGCTGCCCGATGCCAAGCTTCCTGGATGGCCAGTGCCCTTAACAGGGTGAACCCCCTCTTTGGCTAGCAGGGAAAGGATCGCGCAGCTAGGCAGAGGCACGTCGGTGCTGTTTTCTGCTACTCCCCTTAGGGGAATGGCCAGAAAATGCCTAGAACATGATAATGATCCTCGAGGTCACCCTACAGAACACACCAGTAGAGAATTCCACCATGGGGACAGAATCCTACAGGACTGGGAAAGCGAGACAGGAAGGCTTCTCTCCTCTGCTAAGTTCTGAAGATGTTTAGAAGGATTTTGATAGATCCATCAGGGGCCTTTCTGTCAAGGCTCGTTCACTTCCATTTCGAATCTCAACACCTACACTTCATGTAGCACCAGCTCAACCCTCCTTCTCCCCCCAACGCGGAGCCATACGCTCCGAAATATTGCATGGGAACCCCGGCCAAGAAACAAACTTTGCAAATAGCTCCTAACTTTCTAACGGGCTGAGCCAACCCTTCCGAATCCAGCCGTGCTAAACTGTGAGGGTCTGGATCTCTTTTGTAGGTTGGGCCCAGCATAGGTGTAGAGACGCCCCATTCCAGAAACTCAGCAATAGCCAGACTTTAGACAAGAGAGAGAGAGAGAGAGAGAGAGAGAGAGAGAAAGAAAGAAAGAAAGAAAGAAAGAAAGATTAGTGAAAAAAATCAGTTCTCAAGAGAAACTGATGCTGAAGCCTGGCATTGAATGTACCTTCCAGCCTTTCTGATAATCTTTCCTCCCCTGGTTTGTTCATTGTCTGAGATGCCTGTGAGTAAACAAGGCCCATCTCCCGTGACTGCCCATCTCCTCTCCCCTCGGTCCCCCAATGAAGCCTGCGTGTATATGACTTTATTCCCACCGCAAATGCAGGATTTTGCTTCCCTGCAGGGAGAAGAAGCCAGGCTGGACGAGAGAGCTGAGTCCTCAAAACACACGTGTGCCTGGTTCTCAGAACCGAGCGCCCGCGTGTGTGGCGGAAAACTCTCCCTGCGGGCCATCCCCGCTCCCTCCAGAGGAGCCACCTTGAACGAATTACATGGCTGCATACGCTGCCCTGCCTTAGTACTGGTATCACATGTACCCAGCAAAGGCTTCTCCCCCCGCTGCAAAGAGCAGCCTTCACGCTGGGACCCACTGCCTGGATCCATTGTTATCGGATCTGGGCAGCCCAGCGGGCGGTGGCCGGCTGCTCAGTGGAGACACACATCGAAGGGTAACAGAGGGAAGTAGTGTGGGCTGGGGACCCAAGTACAGGGCTGGAGTCGGGACTCCTGGGTTTGCCTCCTGTCCATCAACTAAATATGCTGAATCATTTGCTGTGGGGCCCGCCTGATTTGCTGTGGGGCCCGCTTGTCACAACGGCCTGGTGATAACTGGTGAATTATGTTTGGTTGTATCATCATCCAAAGCACTGGAAGGCACCATATTGCTTCCTTCACGCCCGACTTTCCCTCCCCAGCTTCACGCCCCTTTCCTTCTTCCTTCCCCTTCTCCCAGACTGATTTTCACTTTCCTCATTTTTTCCTGCCTGTTCCCATCAGAGAAGTGGCCCCGATTAGCCAAACTCTCCCTCCCGTGTCCCTCTCTTCCCGTCCGCCCACCACCACTGACAGATGGAACGCCCACAGCCCAGCCGCAGCCCACGCAGAAGATCCTGAAAGATCACAGCGGCCCTAAACCAGGGGTGGGAACCTTTTCTGGGTCGGGGGCCGCTGACCCACAGAAAAACCAGTTGGGAGCTGCACACAAGTGAGAAATGAAAAAAAAAGCTTCACTGCTGTGTCCCCCAGGTCCCCACATTGCTCCTCACATTCCCCTTGCACACCAGAGCTGAGGGTGGCTCAGGCTAGTAAATTTTGTCCGCTCCAGCCCTGTGGTGAGGCTGGCGTGCCAGCATGGGCTCCCCAATGCGGTGGGGGGGCTGATCCTTGGGGGCCAGATCCAGGCAAGCCGGGGACCGCATCCAGCCCCTGGGCCTGAGGTTCCCCACCCCAAACTCAGCAAACTCGGACACACCTGTGGGTGAACCCGTCACGAGAATCCTGCTGCCCCCAAGGCAGCACCGACCACGCCGGGGCTGTCAGAAATTCAGGAGAAAACAACTTGGAAAAGTCTCAATCTGCAGGTCGCGGCAGCCGGCCCGGAGCCAGACAGCGACGTCGGTACATGTACATGCACGCTGCAAAACACGGCTTCTGGGCTCAGCCCAGGGGAAGCTTGGCAGCCTCCCAACAATGAAGTCAAAGGTAGACTTGAGCAAAGGCCACGACGGCTCCAGTGTGGAACAGAAGACGCTGCCAGGGGGGAGGGGGGGGCGCGCCAAGTAATGGTGAATGGCACAGACAGCTCTGGGATGTCTACGCGCCGCTCTGAGGGGGAGGGCTGTCTTTTCCCAGCCACGTGGCCTTTGGGCACCTCGTGCTTGAACCTGCAAAGGGCTGAGCCACCGGTTCCTTTCCCAGGCCTCCTGCACCGGGTCTGTTCTGCCCTCCAGGATTCTGGAGGGAGGACGCGACGGGCCGCTGCGTTCCGTTCCATACGCCCACCCACTCCAATACAGTGCGCACAGCTACCCAGATCGGGGGGTGGGACTTCCTGTGCAAAGACGCAATTGCTGGACAACGGCAAGGCCTCGTGATCACTGTGAGGCAGAGGCGGGGTTCGCTGGAGGCTCCTTCACATCAGGCACCGCCCTGAATCATCTGTGGGGACGGAATGTAGGACGTCCCGCATCAGGAGCGACTGCCGCGGGTCCTGAAGGACGCCTCTACTGCTAGCTGTAGATCAGCCACTCCCCCGATGGATCAGCCACCAGACGAGTCCGTGGGCAGTGGGTGAATGTAGGATTGGGGGAGGCAAGCCCCCGACTTGCCCCTTCTGTCCCCAGGCTCCCTCCGTCCCCCCCCTGCTCCAGCATTTGGGAGCCCTCAGTAGTGGTCCAGGCCATACCCCGCTATCTTCCTGTAGGGTTGGAGCACACAGAATCTACTAGCTTGGACCCCCCAGGCTCTGGTGTGTGAGGGGAATGAGGGGACTGTCTTTCTCCTCAATCGGGGGCCATGTCAGTTTTTTGTTTTTTGTTTTTTTGTTGCTTGTCACTTGTGTGCGGCCCCTGACTGATTTTTCTGTGGGTCAGTAGCCACCAACCCCAAAATGGTTCCCCACCTCTGTTCTAAAACCTAGATGATTCCTAATGTGTCGGAACAGCTGCAATCTGGAGAAACAGAGGTCTGCCCATCCAAAGAATAGGGACCAGGAAAAATAGGGCAGAATACAACCACTACTGCTGCCAATTCAGACCACCAAATGAGCTTTATGGAACAGATGTTGCCAACCACACCTCATCATAGACCTCAGGTGCTCAGAAACTATGCAGACAGGGCCGGTATTAGCTGCAAATAGATCATTATATCCTGCTCCTTAAAGCAGTGGAAAACTCCTGTTGATTTCACAGCATTTCACCAGAACAGGACAAAAGATCCTTTGCTTAAATGAGAGCGTCCCCAGTTTCTCTCTCTCTCTGGTAGGAGAGGCATGCATGCACCCAGGGCATAAGACAGCCTCAGAATCAGGGTGAATCTGGATGCAATGAACCTGTGTGTGGGATCACACAGGAAAAGAAAGTAAAACTCTTAAATACAAAAATATCCAGGCGAGGGCTGGAGAGAACACCTCACGCCTGCCCGACGGGCTAAACCATGGCGCCACAGACTTCTTGTTGTTGTTGTTTATTGCTCAGATTCGTCATGGCATTAAAGCTGCTTTCCAGAGCGAAAGCGTTGGTTACTTTGGGGAAATAGCGTCATTTCCCCCAAGGCAAATGTCTTACAACGTTAAGAGACTGATGCCCTGAGACTGATGTAGGGGCCTACACATAGAATTAGGTGCTTACGTTTAAACAAAAAACAGGACTATGTAGCACTTTAAAGACTAACAAGATGGTTTATTAGGTGATGAGCTTTCGTGGGCCAGACCCACTTCCTCAGATCAAATAGTGGAAGACAATTGTCACAACCATATATACCAAAGGATACAATTAAAAAAAATGAACACATATGAAAAGGACAAATCAAAGTTCAGAACAGAGGGAGGATGGGAGGAGAGTAAATGTCTGTGAGCTAATGATATTAGAGGTGATAATTGGGGAAGCTATCTTTGTAATGGGGAAGATAATTAGCATCTTTGTTAAGACCCTGGCAGCCCACAAAAGCTCATCACCTAATAAACCATCTTGTTAGTCTTTAAAGTGCTACATAGTCCTGTATTTTGTTTCCGCTACACCAGACTAACAGGGCTGCATCTCTATTACTGTTTGTTCAAGACACTCATTCGAGTCATTAGAGTGCCCTCTGTCAGTACAAAGTGGAACTGCTGGACTCTGTAAAATCCTTCACCTGGTCTCACGCAGGAGCAAGTAAATATTCCCCTAAGTGAGATGTCTTGAATGCCACAATCAGCATCCAAATTACTTGATGGTGAACTTGATACATACAGCCCACAGAGCATCTTCCTCAGCTGCTAACATTCTGGGCCCCCCTTATCCGTCCTATGTCCCAAGGGTGCCAGGTCCATCCATCACCATGTTGGGTGCATACAGCCCACAGAGCATCTTCCTCAGTCGCTAACATACCTGCCGGTATGATGATTGTATGGTTACAGGAAGAGCCTGTTTCTCATTTCACACATGCACTCCCACCCCACACTCCCACACCATCACACACACGCCCACACCGGTCTATTCAC